TGAAGAGGGCGGTGTAGGTCTTTTTCCCAATGATTTCAACTTTTGTGTGCCTCGCTATATTTAGGATGATGTAGCTAAATGATCCCCAATTTTTTTTTAAGTTTTGGTTTATTTTATTTTATGTTTTATTTGTACTTCATAATGACAGGGCGTGAGTGGGCACAACGGGCAATGGATTGGGTGGCCCGACTCGAAAAAAAACCGTTCCAAACTACATAATTTAACCCAAAGACCGGGCCTTCGCCCATCAAGCTTGGGGCCATGGCCCAGCCTGAACTACCCCTCTTTTTTTTGTTTTTGTTTTTTTTTCATCTTATCTACATAATCAATTTTATTGTGTGTATTCTCTTCCCATCCATTAGTATTAAACATTTTAATGGGTCATACAATATTATTAATTTAAGCGAAAAGTTTATATAAGGTTGCAACTTTAAAATATAGAATTACATATGCACCTCAAAAATCTATCGGAAAGTTTGTTTTAATATTGAAAAATTCTTTTGTTGATCATCTCGATATCAAGATGTATGAATATGAAAAAAAAGAAATTTTTGATTCATAGAAATAGTGCATCTTGCAACACATTATCTAGACCATCTATTTTCAAGATTTTCATATGTATATAGATCTACTTGATTTTAGCCATATTTGGAATTTAAAATTTTCTAATTAGATATGAAAATAGATTTTAAGATAATTTTAAGAATTTTTTACAACAAAATTACATATTATGATAAAATTTGGAGGTGCACCTTAATTGGATTGTTTAATGTTGTAACCTTATAGAAACCACACCCTTAATTTAATATTTATAATTCATTTGTTTATAAGTTTAAGTATTGGGAAAAGGACGCGGTTTCTATGCGGCCAGCCCGCATATTGTAGAAATGCGGGCCTGGCAATAAATACATTTTTTAAATATAATTCGATCCTAATTTTTAAAGAATATATAATTTTAACGTGGAGATCATGAATATGAAAAGAGAAAGGAATTTTGAAAACTAAAAACAATAATTATATTAAAAAAACATTTTGACCGTCAATTATAATTGTTTTTAGATGGACCACCTATTTGCATCCATCTTTAAGATGGATACTTTAAATCATTGGATCACGTGTTGTAGAAATGCAGTCGCCCACATGAAACAATTTTCCTAGGGAAAGATTACTAAAACTTCCCCTTGACTGAACTTTCGTAACATTCTCCCCCAACAACTTTTTAAAACACTACAAAAACTCCATAACCCCATTTACAGTTTGTTTTGCGACTACACTTGAACTTAAAAATGTACTTTTTTGGACTAAAATATCTTCATTTGACCCACGTTTATAACACTTTTTTTTTTTTTGGTACCGTATTGAAAAATGAGCCATCATGTCAGTCTGGCAAAAAAACAAAAATGTGCCAAACCGGTTCGGCATATTGATTTCATAGTGCCGGTTTGCTAGCTTGACCGAAAAATGAGCTTGTCCAATAATGTTTTCTTTCAGATCAGTATTATGAAAACATGGATACAAGGCGGAGAGGTATTTTGGTCAAATTTTATTGACATTTTTATTGGAGGAAAGTGCAAAAGAAAACAACAATATCATTTTTTAGTACTTTAACAAGTGGTTGGGGGAAGATGTTAACAAAGTTAAGACATGGGGATTTTAGTAATTTTATTTAGTTATTAAATTATGAATAGACAACAACTCTTTACACTTAGCCACGTTCACTATACACACTCGGTCACAATAAATTAGTACTCCTAAAAGATTTCATGTTCCCGAGGGAGCATACTGTCCTTTGAATCCCTCAAGTAAAACCCAATCTGGAAGTATATTTGAGACCCCAATTTTAGGAATGAAAACTCTTCCATCCATATGCTATACTAAGATTTTTTTTGAAATTGTATCCTATATAGGCTTGAAAAAATATAATGCCTCATTATTGAATAAAAATCGTATGATTTTTTAAATGTGAGATCTAAGTGTCAGAAAATTTAAAATTTGATTTTTTTTTTCTTTGCTTCCAATCATCCAGTGATTTTCACATCATTCCCAAATTTAGATAAAAAAAATCTTCCCAAATTAGTCTTCTGCCCAAGGGAGTAACTGTACAATATGTGCTCCCATGGGCACATAGCATCTGCACTAACTAGTTTTTCTTTTTTTTTCTTTGTTTCTTTATGCATGCATATCATCGGCTCATGGTCCAACCACTGAAGCCAAATCCTGATTTATGTAATACTAGTAGCATGCACATCCGTTGGAGGTGTATTAAAATGTTATGCATGTAATATTTTTTAAATGCTATTTTATAAGTAAAATATATTTATAAAATTTAAAATAAAAATATAAAATAAAATAAAATTGAAAATAAATTTCACAATAAAAAAAATAATAGTTTCTCACACATATAGGGAGGAAGCAAAATAGAAATAAAATACTTCTCATAGCGAAAGACGGATGAAATACTTTTCATGAATAAACAACAATGATTAAAATACTATTTGATTGAATCGACATACTTTAGCGAAATGAATAAATTATTTATACGTTATACTAAATAAAACATAAAATTTTAATATATCAAATTAACTAAC